AACTGACATCAACAATTTTGAACATCTCTCTGGCATCACAAGTGGCTTGCACATTTAAGGTAGGTTCCCTTTCGGTTGATATACCCATCTCCATGGGCGATTTGGTTCGGGATCCTATATGTGTACAATCAATTACACCAATTGCTGTCGGAAATTTATACATACTTTGCCATATCCGCTTGGCCTCCATCAGTTCATGGTTGGTAGTTGGAAACTTGATCCATTCGTTCGACTGTGCAACTATGCTGTTCACAACTCTATCCACAGTCCAGATAGCGTTGCTTGACTAACACCAAGTTCCTGACCAATACCTTGTTGATATCCAGGGCCGCCGAGATAACGTAGACATATCTTCATTTTAGGAATACATAAAAGTGCTTCTCCTCGAGTTTCCTCATTCTCAACTAAAAATTTGTCCGCAAGCCATTGTGCATTTGCTTCGTCGAACCGATATAATTTTTTGAAGTCACGACCAAGTGAAGGTAAACGAGGTTAGTACGTTTTAACATCCCTAACATCCACAATTTCCGCCATCATCGTTTGACCACCTTTCGTTACGAGTTAAGTCTGCTACTGACCACACTCAGAATTTTTGAAGGATATGCTTCCTATGCCAAGTATAAGGTGAAGATTATCAATATCCTTTTACTTATGTCACTGCTTTGAAGAATATGCTTATACTCAAAAAGCAAAAGCATTTACTTCAAATTATAATAAATACCATCTGCAGGATTTCCTTCAAAATTTGTACAAGGATATCCTTTGTTTTATGAATATGGCCCAATATCAAATCCGAAGATATATCCTTTTCAATATCTAAATATAATTTCAACACACTGTACGTCGGTAAGGGCAAATTTTAAGACTCATGTTCGTATAAGCTTTACGTGCTATTTTTTATTTACTTTATTCCTTAGAATCACCATATACATCAACTTTGTTCATACGCTTATCCTTAAATTCATAACATTCTGTACACTCTGTACAAATGTAGTTCTACTAAACTACAACGTCGCTGTTAGCCTTTACCCAATCGACATACTTCGCGACCCTCTCAAACACTGAAGGCAGCCCCTTTTCGCAGTCACTTTGCCCGAAAGACACGACTCCCACTTGCAGCCAACTGTCAGGACCCTTTCCAACTACCAACGGCCCTCCAGAATCACCCTTGCAGAAGCCCACTTTCACGCCGCTCTCAAGGCCTGAGTGCAGAGCAAGCTGGGCTTTATGAACGCCTTGTAGCTGGGAGAAACCTGCAGCACAGTCTGCGTTTGACATTATGGTCATGTTCACTTCATGGAGAAGGGGGGTTACTGTGTTTGGGTATTGGATGTTATGCCCCAGCCTGCTAGCGTACCTGTGGAAAGAGATGGAATATTTCTGTAATATGTGGTACTGGCAGAGTGAAGTGCCCTACCCTAACGTGGACCCCAGTCTCATCTTCTCTTCAAAATACAATGAAAAACTACGCAAAATGTCCGAGTTTAAATTCTTAAAAAATAGGTACTATTTCATACAAATAAATAAGCATATGATCAAAACCCCATAGTTATATCAACCGTCTGGTTTTGGGAGAGGTCTCTCCCAAATATTTAATAAAATATGGAGTGTTCCATGTTTACAGTGCCAATGAATTGTGCGACATCCTGTACATTTCCAAATAATTTATGAATACACATCTACCAATCTTGCTGGGAAAATCATTTTCGAATATCGCTTATAATTTTTCTATAAAACTACTTTCTATTTTCGTTGGAGCACCCCATACAACGCCCTTTTATACTCGTACGAGAATGTACCTTTTTCTTCTGCAAATGTTTCGTTTCCGCTATGAAGTCGAATGATCTTGATGTGCTCAGTTTCGTTGACAGGTTCCGGCAGTTTGACCAAAGCAACATCTCCTTGTTTCAACGACCAGTCCCAACCAGGGTGAACAGTGAATTCTGTGGAAATCCGTCTCACTTGAGTTTCCTCGGACTTGTCAGTGACGTTGTGCGCTCCGAAGATCAGTTCCATGCTTAGTGCATTTACGCTGCAAAATTACATAGTTTAACAGTAGTGTTAAGCCGTTCCACCGTCTCGCGTCGTAACATTTATAAAAGGAGAGTGAATTTTTGTAGCACGTTTGCACAATAGGCTAGTAGGAAGAGGTACAATATTAGATAAAATTATTCAGAGGTTATGACGCATGTGCTTATTAGTTTTGACTGACTTCTGAAGTATTCTGAGTATTACGTAGTTCTTCTTTTTATGTCTATCATTATGTCAGATGCGCTGTACTTACATAGAAGTCTTGATGTTCCTCACCTCAGTAGAGCAGAAATCTGGGGTTAAGGCAAACAATTACCAACCATTAACGAGTCGGTTTTTGGCGCTTTCTGCTTTTACAAATCCAATGTCTATGATTCTTTTTCAATAAAACTCAACGTTGATAAGTTTTTTAGAAATATATAAAAGAAGGTAACATTAGTCCACGAGGGACATACGGATGACGTTTCTTTGTTTACAATTTGTATGACGTCACATCATGGCCGATAGTGTTTTCAATGTTCCGTTTTAGAAATAAAAAGTATATTTTTTGAAATTAGACATGTGTCAAGTAGCCTATTCTGTGTTCCTCCGTCTTATAACGATCCACAACACAAGCCCACAAAATAAAATAGGTGGTGTGTACTTGAGGTCCAACTATGTTTTTCCCATGTACTTTTTCATGACGAACACGAATCTGAAGTCAAAATTGGGGGAAGATGGATAAATATGGGAGTAATTTAGACATCAGAATTATAAATTTTGTGTTCTTAATGCCTGAATTACTTTCTTATTAGTCCAAAATTTTAACTTCAGATTTGCATTTAGTGTGAAAACCTACATGAGAAAAACACGGTGGGACCTCAAGCACACACCACTTATCAAATTTAGAGGCCTGCGTAGTTAAATCCTTGAAAGAAAAACGATCAATTTAAGGGCTGAACTATACTTTACCGCATATCGCAAATATTACATTTCTAATTTTGAAATGAAAGATTAGGATGTAACTTGCACGAGAATATCATTTTTTCTTTAAGGAACTCTCTGCTTGCTATTTTATAGAACTTCAAAGTTGCATTTTGCGTGGCAATACTGTGGTATATAATAATGCTTTATGAGCTATTTTTTCTTGTTTACACAAATGATTGCTCAAAAATATTTGAATATAACATACAATGTAAATTACTGTGACACTGTTCATCGCAATAATGCAATTTTGCATTATTTTAATGATGAAAATAGTTCATTGTTAAGTAGTAGTTTCTTTTATTTTAGATAAATATTCCCATCACTACACCACCATCCACCACCATCACTATCCTACTCTCTCCATCTAGTTGCGGTGTTGCCAAATCATGGACAGAATTGTCAATAAAATGCGATTTGGAGGTGTGGCCGGCAGGTTTTACTGTACTAAATCCACTTCGTGCAACTTTGAAGTTCTATAAAATAGCAAGCAGAGGGTTCCTTAAAGAAAAACTGATATTTTCGGGCAAGTTACATCCTAATATTTCATTTTAAAGTGAGAAATGAAGTATTTGCGATATGCGCTAAAGTATAGTCTTACCAATTTAAGAAACCTATTGTAACACCTTTTAGAGATAACAGCTTAATAATATTACAAATATGAATAACTTACTCTTCAACGCAGTGTGCTGCTGTCAAAACATAATTGTTCGATACCAATGATCCGCCACAAAACTGGGATTGAATTTTTCCCGTTACGTAAATGCCAACTTGATATGGATGAGAATGTAGGCCTGCAACCCTTCCATGGATGATTCGGAATGATGGAACAGGTTTGGAATGCTCATGTACTAACTGAAAAACGAAACTAAATAATATTGGGTGGCCAATATGCTTATAATTAACTGCTTGGGTGCTCGCAGGAATTTTTCTCATGGGGGTGAGGCGACCATTGCCAAGAGATAACTTTTTGCGAAAACTGTTTGAAAAGGGGAGTAGCAGACTTTATCTGGGAGGTTACAAAATCCTGAAAATCTCCAAAATTGTACCCAAAATAATGCTAAATATGCAGGTTTTAAAGCCCCCTGGGATCCTTTGCGAGTGCCACTCGAACTCAAAATGTTTTTCATAGCCACACAAAGCTGGAGCCCTCTTGAATACGGTTTCCTTCGATTTTCGCTATATATAAATGTCTGTCTAGTCTATCAGCAATGCGTCTGAACCGCAATACGAAAAGAAATTTGTACACTAATTGAAATCTGATGGTTTTATCCGCGAAAATATACAGGGTGTTCAAAAAGTATGGATAGATCAAAATATCTCAAGAAGTACGTTTGCCCATGACCTTGACCTTCATGGATATTTGAGGTTATCCAGGAAGTCGGGAAAGGACAAAATATCTCTTAAAGAAAAATGTTAGGCCATAAAGTTGTAAGGTTTAACAAGTTTCATAGAATGATGCTTCTAAACAGGTAATATTTTTCTAGCCCGGCCATACTTTTTGACATTTCCGACCTATTGTCATGTATTGCTGTGTAAATTATTGGAATCTTGGTTAATGTATTGTAAGTGATGTAAACTGCCGCGATGCGTACAATTTCGCCAGTCATTCTTGTCTAATTTTTGTCTTTCTAATGAAAACTTTTGACCATGTAAGTATCTACAGATTGCGGACAATATTGTCAAGATAGCAGATGTATGCTCGCCAGGGGTTATGTCGTAAAAAACCTAAACAATGACAAAAAATCGTTAAAATGCCAATGTCAACTTGTGTATAAGTGAGCATGAAATAAATGTCAGCTAGTTCAAAGGTGACATTTCATAGGAAAACATAGATAATTTAAAAAAACAATATAATGTCACTTTGTAAGTGACGTAATATGGGCCCACAAATATACCCCTTAGAGCCTCTATGATGGTGACCTTGAACGTAACCTTGATCTTCTCTCATTTTAAAGTCAAGAAAGTCTCCTAAAATCGAAGCTCCTATTTTTGACACCGGGAATAAAAAGGAAGATACTTTGTGTTCAAGAATGACTGTGACCATCAAGGTCATTGTAAGATCAAATAGATTCTCAAGAAAACTCCTTACCCTTTGTCGAGTACATAAGAAAAGAAACTATTGGAATTAACTTATTGTTGCATTAAAATGTTGGAAAGAAAATGTTCATTGCATCACTCTGAATATTGCATTTCTTTCCCCCAAAGCAATGTCCTTCAAAGTAATGCGAAACGCACGACCTATACTTTACGCTACTTCCACGAGAGTGGAGCCGCGGATTTAGTACACTTACTACTATTTTTGTATTTTTCAATAACGATAAGTGCAGAAATAATTTTTATTTTGGTGCATTTGCCTGAAAAAAAAAAATGGTTTTGATTAGATGAATAATAACAACTTTAAGGTACTCCTAAGTTTTTGCAAAAACCAGTTGCGCAGCCTGTTCTCTAAATATAGTTTTTCTGGAACCAACGCCACTACTAAGTGAAAACAGTTTTGTTCATATTGAGGTGTCTACAGGGTGTTAGGGAAATAATACTCGTAACTTTGAGAGGTGATTCCTTGCATTATTCTAAGCAAAATCATAACTTACTATATGTCCGAAAATCAATCGTTTTCGTGGAAAGTGAGTCATAAATAATTAAATTTTCTCAAACATTTGGCAACGCTGCACGACGACCGCAACTGATTCATTGAATTATTTACGTTTGTATGATATTTTTGTTGAAAATATGTCTTGAATTATTGAATACTTTTACGCATTTTTTGCGGCTAATATTTTTTATTTAATAACGCTCTCATTACAGTACATTTACTTGAAAAAAATGACAGAACTTACCGGTACGTGGCGATACACATCACCAATTCCCACGATTGTCAGTCACTTATTTGAAACGAAACGAAAAAAGAAAAAAAAACAACATCCGTAAATCACATAAAGTTACAGTTAAATGTATTAGTAATCACAACAACACGCGATAATACATGCAGTGCAGGCGAGTACGACGTTGCCAGTTGTGTGAGGGATTTTATTTGTTTGTTTTTTTTCGGAAAATTGTATTTAATAAGCGAGAAAATTATTTTGTTAGAAACAGTTGCTTAATAAATAGATGTATTGATACATTTTACGCTATTAGGCATATGAATTTAAATTATTAAGGTGCAAAATCAATTTATTTTATGACTAAAAAGAAACAAGTTCAGCATTTTTTTTGCTCCGAAACGGTTGATTTTCGGACATAGGTCATAATGAAGGTTTTTAGAATATGCAAGAAACCACCCTTAAGTTACGACTATTATTTCCCTAATACCATGTAATCATAAAATATTTGCATGTGCGAGGATGCGGACCATTATAAGCTATATAAGCATATTATATGAACTTCTATTACCAACGTAAAGCAATATGTAAGTCAAGCTAAATAAATTTATAAAATTACCTGTGAAAGTGCAGTTATAGATAGAAATAACAGAAAGAAGAACATTGTATCACTTTAAATAGACTAAGATTTATTTACAGCAAAATTCATTCATTTAAGGAGCACAACATATCCGCTTTATCTTATCAAACATCCAACGGTAGTATCTTATGGAAAAACTACATAGCAAATTCGATATATATAACTGATAAGTTATAAGTTCACTTGATACTGATCTTGATGGATCAATCAAATGGATTAAGAATGTGTGATAAGACCATAAAAAAATTACTTACAATAAGACCATAAAAAATATGCTTACTTGCAAAATATGTGGAAGTGGGTTGTTGATCTCCATTTACTCGTAGATTGAAATAAAAATGTCCATCATTGCAGATCACAGACTTCTTGTCAATACAACATTGGATTTCAATAACGGAAGTTCGGGATTTTTAAAAACTCGCGTTTTTTTTCTCACCGCACCACTTCAGGCAAATTCATAAAACGCCGACAAAACAAGAATACGAAAGAGTACAAGAAAATGTATCATACAATTGAAGACACAAGTGGATAAAGGTGTTATGTAACAAAATCATTGTATTGAGAAAATTGACTTTTTATTAGGACTTTTACTTTATTGACATTTTAAATACATATTTAGTTTAATTGGTTTGATCGCATCGTGTTTTTGCAACAAAGTAATCTTAGAATGAAAGAATCACTCATGAAGGTTGGTTTAATGCGAAAAAGCAATTTAAAAAAAAATGTTACATGACACCTTTATTTACCGAAAACAGTTCTGTGAAAACGTCGAATTGATTTTATCTTTGTTCTAAAGTCAACTATTGTCAAGTAATCATTACATTAGGCCATGGGTGCCTGTAGAATTCAAAGATAAAATTATGCTAAACATGCAAATTTTGTGAGTCAACCGCATTTTAAAGGAGAACCAGGGTCTCCCTGGCAACGCAACGCGAGGTCATACATAGCAGACGTGTCTTTTATAATTATAGCTTTAAGTGAAAACTGTCTTTGTCGATATTGTTTATTTGGCTGAATATATAATCTGATAAAACCAGGCTTACGAAAGTTTCTACGCCAGCTAAAAAAGATGTCAGTATAGAAAGATATATGATTTTCAAAAAGGAAAGCAAAAATTAATAAATATTTACGTGCTTATGAATTTACGTATTTTACCGTCACTACTTACATACTTTTCTTATATGTTGTATGTTATTAAAAAATGAGAGTGGATGGAAACTTAGTAGCTGCATGTTTTAATAAATAATCCTTATAATAGATACATATTTTTCAAGTTATCATAATTAACACCACCCAGTAACAATATTTCTTTATGAAGCTTGACTGATCAGAATGTTGTAAACAATCGTCGTCTTAGTTTCGTTTGTTATGGATTAGAGGACGGCACTTTCTTTAGATAGCGCTGTTAACAGTGGTACTTCCAATCCTAGGGTAGAGTATTGTCTGTAGCGGTGCGTTTGTAAATCACTTGGCAATGTAATACCGTACACAGAAATGGAATGTGGATTAACAGATTAAATTTTACTCTGGAGTACTGTGGAACTTTATTTTTAGAACGCCTAAATTATTACAGTCATGTAATCACATTTGATAACACACGACTAATATCTAACCACGTTTTCTGCGACCATTGTATTTATTATAACAAATCTTAGGGATACGAGGTAGCGTTTATCAAAATTCTGCCAATTTTGAGCAGTTTTGGATAACCAAATAAAATAAACAGACAATGAACTATGAGAATGACAAGTGACAGGATTCTTAACCTTGCTTTTGAGACGGGAAGAAAAGCACACTTTTGACGTTCCAGAAGGTTTACTTTGGTCTATTTCCGAATGCAAACAGCTACATCAAAGTACAGTACAAAGTAAAGTACAATTTAAGAACGCCGCCTAGTGTGGCTAAATACTCTATAGTTATTATTATCTAGGAAAATGTCACTTCTCAACAACTTTTAAGATGCATGATGGAAGGGATCAATCTAAACATTTATAAGCATACTTCGTATTCTCTATTTGTAGTCTGCAATATATTGTGCTGAGGTATATAAAGAACAATATCTATCAATATTCATTTATTTTAAATTGTAGATAGCATGATTTAGCAAAATGGTGAAAGCGCAAAACAACAATGCATTCTCCTTCATTATAGTTTAAAAAAACCTTCGTGAATTCAGTTTCATTCTCAGCAGCCCAGTGTCATCATGTTGCAGACAAACAAATTTTTTTATTTAATGCAATACATGTATACAGGTAGGAAGCTACTAAAACTTTACAGTTACTTGAATACAGAGAATTTCCTTTAGGGGCTGCGAAAATGTGCAAAAAATTTTGGCAGGTTTTATAATAAAGAGGGCTTGGTATGTTCTTAACACGATGACTGCCATGGCTTATTCAAGGACAAGTCAATCTAATTCAATCATAGCCAACTGCAAGATAGTTAGCTACAAGATAACTCGTAGCTGGCATCTTGTGCAGGTAAACAACCTACGAGATACGTCGTAGTGTTAATTATGTTACATATTCGACTGTTTGTCCAGTTGTGATATTTCTTAACTTGCATATACAGTCGACCCCCGATAATCCGGCCCCTGTCTAATCCGGCGCCCCCTGTAATCCGACATGTCTTTGAATATGTATTACATACATACGTATTTGACAATCTTCGCTAATGTAGATCACGCGGGTTTGAACAGGTTACAACTTGTACGCCCCACCGCTATCGTGCTCGACGCGAAAGCATTGTTTTACTTAGTTTGAATTTGACTACTGGTGATAGCGGTACGGCCTAGCGTGCGTTCATTGTTTACTATTTATTCATGGTGTATTAAGTATAGTACCTAGTAATGTCATCACAAACTCAGAAGCGAAAGCACAAAACATTGACAATTAAAGAAAAATGTGATATTTTAGACCGCTTAAATCGTAATGAAACTTTCAGTAGTTTAGCAAGTGAATACGGCGTAGGCCGATCTACAATTTATGACATTAAAAGAAACCACGAGAAGATCAAGAAAATCGTGTCAACTACTGACTGCGGGCTAGGCAAGAGACAGACACTCAAGAAAGCTGAACATCCAGAAGTGGAAGAAGCTTTGTACATGTGGTTTCTTCAGGAAAGAAATAGGCATGCACCAATTTCAGGAGCCATGTTGGCCATGAAGGTTTTGTTATAAGGATATAACAAAAAAAGATGATTTTGTGGCCAGCAAAGGATGGCTAGAACTTTTTAAAAGTCGTCATGGCATACGTTTAATGACTATTACAGGAGATAAACTTTCGAACGATGCCACCTGCATAGAGCCCCTTAAATTAAGATTTTTTGCAAAAGGTGAACGATTTAAATCTTGACCCGTCACAGGTGTACAATGCAGACGAATCAGGGCTTTTTTGGCGTGTGATGCATAACAAAAGTTTCGTACCTGGACGAAAAATAAGTAAAGAGCGTGTAACCATACTACCATGTGCTAACGCTGCGGGCACACACACGCTTAAGATGATGGTCATTGGAAAGTCTAATAAACCACGGGCATTCAAAAACATTTTCCTGCACACTATTACGGACAAAAAGTGCATAGATGACAAAAGACCTTTTCAAAATGTGGTTTGATGAATGCTTCGTACCTGAAGTTATAAAATAGTTAAAAGATCATAATTTTCCTAAAAAAGCGCTGTTGCTTCTTGATAACGCTCCCGGTCATCCGTCTGAAGAAGAACTAACTACTGAGGATAAATGCATCACTGCAATGTTTCTTCAGCCAAATTGCACTGCACTGATTCAATCGATGGACCAGAATATAATTTAATTTGTCAAGCAAGACTATAAGAAAAACCTACTTCTGAGAGCCGTATCAAAAGACCAACCAATAGAAAAAACTTTAAAAGAATTTAATATGAAAGACTTGGGTTTTACTCTTTGTCTGTCGTGGAATGCGTTACCGTCATCAACTATTAAATCGTCTTGGAAAAAGTTTTGGCCAGATATAGTCACCACTCCTAGCAACGTTCCACAAATCAGATTTACTTCGGAAGTTATAGAACAAGTCGCTACTGAAACACAGAAGTCCGGAAGATTTGGAAATCTGGTGCCGTAGAATGGATAAAGAGGAAAATGTTTTTCATGAAATGTCTGACGAAGAGATTATAAAAGAGGTTTCTAATTATACAACAAACAATCAGGAAAATAACGACGACGTGATTGCAACTGCTCCACAAGTCACAACACAAGACGCAATTAACGCCTTTGAGCTAGGTTTACAATGGGCTGGAGAGAATGGTACATCCTACAACGAACTTTTACTTTTGAGAAGACTGAGGGACAAAGCTCTGATCTCGCGTTAAACAAAAAAAAATTGATGAATATTTCCAAGCTTCATAATTTGATAAATTCATTAATGATTTTGATTAATAATTCTTGATTATTTTGGTACATATGTATGTGCATTTATGCTTAATTTTATAATAAAACGTAAGCTCTCTATTGTTATTTAATTTACTAAATTCGACATACATAAACTATTTATGATTTGTACTTCAAAGTACATACATATACATAACATATATAATCTTACCATTGGATATGTAATTTGTCGGATTACAAGGTACTCTTTTGTAAAAAATTCCGGACTATAGGGGGTCTTAGGCAGTGCTCTATAATCCGACAAATTCGATAGTGCGACACTGTCCTGCATAATGTATGTCAGATTACCGGAGGTCCACTGTATTCAGGTTCACAACACGCCTTTGTGAAAGTGCAGATGGCATTAGCGCTCGTCAGGAACGCAGGACAAATATTGTCAGTTCCGAACAAATCAGAGTTAACAAAATGGATAAACTGTAGGAGAATCCTCTAACGTTTGTGTTTAGTGTTGGTAGATATTTTACGAACTGAGATGTAACTGACATTACACATTGAAAATCGTATACAGCAGGAATACCACATGGTTTATACGCGATATTGTGCCTCCTAGGTTTTGGGGGTATTTAGCACATGTTATCGGTAAATCTGTATACTCATAGCCTCTTCTCCTTATCATACATTACTATGAGCTCGTGACGAATAAGTGAGCTGCTTAAATCTTATCTCAGATAGTGTGAGCTCTTGCGATTATTTATATAAGCCCTTCCGCGATCAAACAAGCTTCAATAGTAGTGGGCAGGATACAGTGGAAACAGAAAATTTACTAAAATCAATATATTACAAGATAAAATCTACAGTCATAGTCAAAAGGGAATGATATGTACATTAAAGAGAAAATATGATGAACTGAGCATTTAATACCAAAAGGGAAAAAGAGCAACTCGAATAATCAAAAAGGAAATTTAGAATTGAAAAAAAATTCAAATTAACAGTACTGGACAGTAAGGCCTCAGACAATATAGTGTCAAACGCAAACAACCTAAATCAACACAAGAGTTCATTACAATCAATACAGGGTGTTGCAGAAATATGGGATCAAACTTGTAAGGGTTATTCAGTGGAACAGTAGAAAAAAATTGAGTATAGTGACCCATATCCGGCGCTTGTGTGTTGTTATCTTCAAAAACGATAACATTCGTGCTATCGTATTTGTGAAGTTTGCAAGAATTTAATATAAATTAATTGTTGTATCAAGAACGTTATCCCGAACGACAGCATCCGGGATACAAAAATTTTATTGCTATTTATCGGCGGCTCTCCGAGACAGGCGTGTTTAAAACCAACATGCATGATACTGGTGTTGCTCGAACCGTAAGAGCGGTCTAATTTGAAGAAGAGGTCCTTCACCGAGTTGCCGATGAACCATCAAGTAGCACACGTCACATTGCTGAGGATATGAATACGAGTAACGCTTCCGTCTGGCGGGTGTTACACGAGCAACAACTTTATCCTTACCACTTCCAGAAAGTTCAAGGATTGACTGCAGCCGACTATCATCCTAGAGTTCAATTTTGTCAATGGCTTCTTCATCAAATCACTGCACAACCAAATTTTTTACGCTATGTTTTATGGACCGATGAAGCCTCTTTCACAAGAGACGGTATTCTTAATATTGTCAAAATCACGAAAGATGACTATTACGTCATACCATAAATCGTACTGAAGTAATCAATAGACGTACTACGTCGATGATAAAAACACGCTTTCAGGAACATAATGACAACAAATTTGTATTATGATTTTGCGAAGTTCGGTTATTTCACTGATTATTTTCATCTTCATTTTATTTCATGGTTTTGAGTGACACCGTTATAATAAATTTAGTGGGGAGTTTTTGTTTTGAAAAAAATAGTTATGAGCAGAATACCTTAAGATAGTAACACCAAAGACCAAAACCTAACAACCTAACCTGCTTTAACTTTTAACTATTCATCTTTCAAATATGGTCGATCATGCAACATGAAAACATCGCCTATCTTTGTTGGATACATGCAAATTAGCAATACAGTTTGTTCAGACAATAATATTCTGTTTGTCTCTGTCTATCATATCTGAAACTTCATTAAAAATATTCACAAATCGCTGTCGTTTGTCTTTACTACAGACTAAAATGATGACGTAAACGTGATTTCGACTATTTATTTATATACAGTTTGGGGTGTTAACAGGTAAACCCAACAAACACCCTCAGTGAACTAAAACTAAACTTACATAAAATATCGTATACATATACATGTATTACATTATTGAATACTTCAATATTAATATTTTTTTTTATCTTCCGATATTGTTGTAACAACATAAACTGAGTGAGTAGTTCTAATTATAAGCAATAAACTATTAATTTAACTTTTTTAATAAAAGGAGTATACATAATTTAACATTTACTTACGTTTAATTAAAACTGAAATCAAAATTAAATTGAAATTATACCAAAAATGATATTGGAGGTGATAACTTGAGTTATGTAAAAAAATAAAACATTCTATTTTAGTCTGCCATAGAGCTGTAATACTCATACTTTAAAGCCTTTTTCAGGAAGGTCAAGCTAATGTTAAATAAATCTATATTACAGACATTATTATGATTTTTTTGAGCCCTGACTAAAGGGGAATTAAGCCCAATTTTAGTTCTACGGAACGGTATTCTAAACAGATGATAGGTTCTAAACGTTCTATAAGGAGTGTTAAAGTTCAAGTTTGCCAAAAGATCCGGACAGTCAGTGAGGCCATTCAACAATTTATGAACACAGTAAATGTCAGAAATCGTTCTTCTATCTTTTAAGGAAATCATATTGAACTGTTTCATAATTTGCGTATAACGATGATCTGTAACAGGTTGGTGAGTTTTATGTGCTAACATCTTCAAAAATTTGTTTTGAATTCTTTCCATCCTGGGTACATGTACATTGTAAGACGGATTCCATATTACTGATGCAAACATAAATTTGTTGTGTATATAAGCGTAGTACAATGAAAGAAGCGTTTTTGGGTTCGTAAATTCTCTGCATGTCCTGTTTATGAACCCTAGTGTTCTATTTGCATCATTTACAATGTGCTCTACGTGAGTGATGAATGAGAGTTTCTCATCAATGTATACCCCTAGGTCTCTTACTACATGAAGCTTTTCCAGTTCTGCCGTCCCTATCTTATATCTGAAATCTATAGTGTTCGCTATATTTCTAGTAAGCCTCATGTAATGACATTTTGTTAAATTCAGGAAGATACTGTTTTCAGTGCAATACTTTTGCAGAGATTCCAAATCGCTTTGAAGTTTTACACCGTCATTTACATTTCTAACAATAGTAAATATCTTTAGGATGGTCCTAAGTGACTACCTTGTGTGTGAAGTTACTAAGAATGTCTCCGAACGATACCCACTTGTTTACGATTACTTATATACGATGCTAGCCACTGCCATAATGGACCATCTTTACCCACCTCAGCAAGTCTCACCATCAAGATAGAATGATCAATCTTGTCGAAAGCCTTACTGAAGTCGGTATAAATAACATCCACCTGCAGTTTCTCAACTATTGCGTGAGAGGCATATTCTATAAAACTCATCAAATTCGTATCTACAGATCTTTTAGGGAAAAATCCATGCTGGTGTTCCGTAATGATATTTTTTGTAATGTTTAAGATAGCATCATAAATCAGCTTTTCAAAAATTTTTGAGAAAATACAAAGTTTAGTGATAGGTCGATAATTTTCCACAAGATGTCTATCGCCTCCTTTATGAATAGGCAATATTTCACCTTCTTTCCATCTCGTTGGAAAGACTCTTTGAGTTGATGATAGTTTGAAAATTCCTATAGTAGGAATAGCCACGTTTGGGACAAAGAAAATCCCCATGCAATTTTTCCTAGAAAACATCAGCAACGTCAACGTATGGGCAGGTATTGTTGATGATTATTTGATTGGGCCATACCTTCTACCGGAACGGTTAACAGGACCTATTTACCGGCGTTTCTTGGAGGAAGTTCTTCCAGAACTTCTTGAAAATGTTCCATTGAACGTTCGACAGCAAATGTGGTTTCAGCATGATGGAGTGCCGGCTCACTTTGCTGTGAGTATTTGGCTCAGCGGTTTGGGCATCGTTGGATTGCCAGTGGGGACATGTAAAGTCTTTGGCTTACGAAACTCCAGTAGAAACAGAGCAAGACTTAATAGGACGAATTACAGCAGCATTTGAAATCATTCAAAACGTGTATCAAATTTTTAGTCAAGTCCGCCGAAATCATGTGCGACGTTTAAATTGGTTTATTCGGGCTGGAGGAAGACATTTTAAACAATTATTGTTGTGATGATATCATGTACAAAAGGCAAAAATTAAATGCATTAACTCCTATTTAGGCAATTCATCGTCTTTCTAAATTTTAACGCGTCTTAGCGCCGAAGTGCCGTAGTGACACTTTTCCGGATATGGGTCCCTATACTCAAATGTTTTCTACTGTTACACTGAATGACCTCAAGAAGTTTGATCCCTAAGTTCTGAAACACCCTGTATAGATAAATCGCAGCAATGAGTTTTTGTCTTATTTTGGAATTGTCAGCCGATATCCCCCTAGTACCGTATTGCGACCCACTAGAGGCGCGTAACTCACACTGCTTGCTGTGCTCAAAACCACGCTAAGCTTGCAATATTTCATAGGTCAACAGAATTTTCAGAAAGAACCAGGTCCCTGTGGGTGATTATGTACTTGACCTCTTGACCGACATAGCTTTTTGTCAGCTGTCGTTATGATTAATGTAGCTAATAATCTGTGGTTATGATTTTCTATGGAAATGTCACCTTTTAACAACTTTTAAGAAGCATGTTGGGACGAATAAATGGAAAAATTTACAACCATACTTTGGATTATGTATTTGCAATCTGCAATATATCGTGCAGAGGTATGTCGGAAACAATATCAATATGAATTCATTTTAAACTGTAAATGACATTATTTAGCACAATGTTGGAAGTGCAAAACGAAATGGAATCCTCCTTCACCACAACTTCACAAATGCTCCGTGGATCCAGTTTCATTTCCAGCTATCCAGTGTCACCATGTATGTTGCAGGTCAATAAAGATTATTGGTTTATGCAATACATGTATATAGATAGCACGATATTAAAACTGGATAGTTAATAGAATAAAGCTTAATATATCCTTAATTATGTTACTCATCCGACGGCCCGTCCAGTTTTGATATTTCCTAACCTGCATATATACTAAGTTACATATAAATCCGAACACCCAGTTTAAATGGTTTTATTTTAATAAAATTTTGTATAAGTACCTACTTAGTGAAGCATAATAAGTAAATGATAAAAATTTCAAAATGATTGCACGGCTTTAAAGCCCTTTGACCTTTAATAATGTGTGGATGCACCCTGATGTGCTACGCATTCTCCAACGCGCCTAGGCATGCTTCTGATCAGGTGGTCAATGTCCTCCTGTGGTATCTCATTCCAGGCAACCACCAACTCCTCTCGAAGTGCTTCTAGAGTCTGAGGAGGACGTTGCAAATTGAGCAATCTCCTACCCATCATATCCCACACGTGCTCAATTGGGGATAAGTCGGGAGATCTTGGTGGCCATGGTAACAATGTGACATCATTATGTTGAAAGAAGTCTATTGTGACTCTTGCAACATGTGGTCGGGCATTATCTTGTTGGAAAGTTGGATCTGCCAGGGTGTCAAGATAGGGTAAAAGATGGGGTTCTAGAACTTCGTGGATATAACGCTGCGCGTTCATGTTACCTCTGATGAAGATTAAAGGTGACCTGGAACCATAAGCTATAGCACCCCAAACCATAACTCCAACAGTGTGATGAACATGTCTTTCAACAAAAAACTGTGGATTCCTCCTTTCACCACGTCGCCTTCTAACCCTGGCACGACCATCGTGCATGCCTAAACAAAATCGAGACTCGTCACTAAAGACAATACTGTTCCATTCCTGATCCCAGAGTGACCGTTGTCCGCACCACTCAAGGCGATTACGTCGGTGTTCTCGAGTTAAAGGGAGGACCCAGTGTGGCCGGTATGAAAACAAGCCAAAACTGCTCATTCGTCGGTAAAGACTCAGCATGCCAATAGGTCTTCCGTGTTCTGCAAACCATTCATTTGCAATGGACCTGGTAGTGGAGAAACGGTGAATTAAAAAAAAGCAGTATAAAAACCGGAATGTCCAACTGATAAGGCTGAAAACTTTTTCACTTGTTATTTACAGTAAGATAAATACATTCACCAACTTTTATTGAAATAAAACCATTTAAACTGGGTGTTCGGATTTATATGTCACTTAGTATATTTAATTGCATGACAGGTCTTTACTGATCCTGGTGAAAGTGCAAATGTAACGAGTCCTCGCTAGTTATGTTCTTCCACCAAATTTATCATTTTGAGGGGACAGTATTAAAAAACGTCAAATTTTCGCGGTGTCCGGTTATTTCATAGCATATATGCAAATCTGATGACTAGGTCGTAGATAAAACAATGCCTTCCTCGGGTATAAATTAGTGTAAGTGTTCAAATTTGTATGCCTCTTCGTATTGTGGCTCAGACGTGATGCGAACAGAACGGAGAAACATTCACATTTATGTGAAATGTTCAACAAAAAATACGTATTATCAAAAAAATATTTCAATATTGCACTTTTTTCTCCGAAAATAATCTCCGTAAAGCTAATGAAAGACGTATGACCTATACTTTACACTACTTTCTCGCGAGCAGAACCGCGGGTTTAGGCTAGTATAATATAAAACGTCTGAGCTGGATCGTTTAAAATTGTGACACTTTCTATGTTTCATCCTATCTACAATTTACAGATATATTTTGTGATCATTTATTAATTATTGTTTCAAGGAACAACCGATGTCGGTTCAGATTCCAATAATGAATGAGGTGAAGTCACGAATAATCGGTGGATCAGAGGTGACCCCCCATTCATACCCTTTCCAGGTTCACATAAAAATGTTTAATAAGATTTCCAACGTAGCATCATGTGGTGGTTCATTAATAAGCAAGAAAATTGTCCTTACAGCGGCGCACTGCCTTGACGGGTAAGATCTTAATACGTAGAATTTGGGAACAAAGGCCGATTTACGCATAGCAAATAGTTTATAATTGTAAAAGAAACCGTTTTGAATGGCATCTAATTAAAGATCTGAAAGATTGCTTACGAAAATAATGAAGAAGAAGAAAATGACTCAACGACCAACAAGGTAATAATCCGAGAGATAGCGAACCTGATGGCTGACAGGTATACCAGGTATGTCAAATTCGGCTCTCACTATTGCCAGCTCGGAAATGGCGAGAGATACGAATTCGGTTAAATGTGGGCAAAGTTGTGCATTTACGCGCCCCTTCCCACTTCAGTTGGCGAAACTGTTGAAATCTTAGTTTTTTTCTTAACAAACACAAATAATAAAAAAAGTAGCAGGGTGTTATAGGTTTAAAATATTAACAATGAATATATAGTAGAAAACACCAACTTTATCACTCCCTAATCAAATTTGCAGCATAAAAATAACACATGTTGCAATTACAGCATATCAACCTATTTTCATTTCAATGCAAAATAAGTCCATAACGCATAGGTGGCTGTGAAAAATAAAAGCCATGATAATTGTTTTTATTAATCACAGCTGTCAGAATACGTTTAAAATAGTTTTGGGCAGTTAAGGTTTTCAAAATGGGTAGAGGAAAGGTTATTAGTGAGAAAATTGGGTTACTGATAATTAAATTTTTTAATTCTGGGAAATCAAACTCAGAAATTGCAACTTTGTTAGACTTATCGCGGTACAGTGTGAGAAATATTGTTAGAAGATATAACGTAACTGGTTCAGTTAATATTAAGCCACGATTTGTGAAAAAAGTAATATCACAAATGCCGACCAAAGAGCATTAAGAAGAATAATCGTGAAAAACAGGCGTGCCAATTATTCACAATTAAGTGACGCTGTTGGAAGGAGAATTTCGAGGTCCACAACTCATAGAGAGGCCCACAAACTGGGATTTAGCACTTGCAAGGTAAGTTTTCAAATAAAAAAATTGAAGTAAAAACCCTAAAGTTGCACAACTTGTGTATAGGCCAAAGAAAAGCCACTATTAACACCACTGCAAAAGAAAAATCAGCTTAGATGGACTAAAGAACATAGACAATGGACACCTCAACAATGGTGTGCAATACAATGGAGTGATGAGGCCCGATTCGAAGTTTGTGTTGGTGACAGTCGCAGTAGAGTTATTCGCAAAAAAATTGAAGCATTCCTTGTTGACTGTCTGAAGAGAAAAGTGAAATTTCCAGCATCCATTATGGTCTGGGGCAGTATGCCATCAAAAGGAGTAGGAAAACTTCATTTTATTGATGGAAATGTGGATACAAACAAATATTTGGCAATTTTAGAAGAATCGCTTTTACCAGTGATGGAAGAATGTTTGACATCCGGCCAAGATTTTGTGTTACAGCAAGATGGTGCACCGTGCCATACCTCAAAAAGTCTATAAAATGGATGGAAGAAACTAATCTACCACTTTTGAAATGGGTTTCTAGCAGTCCAGATCTGTCACCTATTGAAACTTTGTGGCACGAGATGAAAAAGGTTCTACGACAACACCCTGCTCGTACAATCACCGAACTGAGACAAAAGCTTCAAGAAATATGGGATTGTTTTACACCAAATTTTTGCCAAAACTTGGTTAACACTATGCCCCAAAGAATTTCAGCCATAATAAAAAATAAAGGTGATGTTACCCAATGGTAATCTTTCAATTGTTGCTTTGTTAACTTCGCGCATTTATTCGCACATTGTTTATTTGTTCAGATGTTCTATTAGTTATAGGTCTAAGTGATTTCAAATATGTATTTTTTACGACTAGAGTGTATCTAAAATGTTTTTGAGAAAATAAATTGTTTTAGAAGTAAATAGTTTCGTCATGTTTATTTTATAAAGGCATATTTTGGTACAAATCTTGAAGTGGGCCAACTGAAGTGGGAAGGGGCTCGTAGATAACCAAGAAAAAGACACTTAGAAAGTTACGCTATTTCGAGTATTTCCGGACATACATAAGAGAAGCCGAATTTTCCTAAAATCGTTTTAAATTTTCATGGCTATATGTGACGTGGGATTTCAAAATAAAAACTAGATTATCTAACATTCACACTTTTTCTCACCCATGACGTTTAGTCTTGTTCTCAATCATCAATTTTCTTTTTTCTTTTAGACGCCACATTGTATGACAAAAATGTTTTTTTTTTTTTTTTTTTTTTTTTTAACGAGGGGGGAATGCATTTACGCACCATACCATAGCACGAGCTACGACGTGTGTGGGGCTCCAGGGTCTTGAAGAGATCACCTAATACCCACTAAACCCTAAACCTCCGCGTGGCCCGACTCATCAGCGTCTCGGTAGGCCATGTGTTGTGCGTGACCTGCGGTCTGCTACAACGTCTCCTCATGTGTTTCAGTCTCTGGGAACGCCGGGTTGGTGCCCTTTACCTCGCACATTCTATCGATGTCGTTAAGCGATCATCGATAGAGGGTCTGCTAGTTTCTCTTGAAACTCTTGTTTTCGAAAAATCAAGAGTTTCAAGTCCTCTTACCAATATGTTGTTCCTGGTCCTGGTCCTGAAGGGTCCTGGTCCTGGTGGGTCCTGGTCGTGGCGGGTCCTGGTCCTGGTTGGTCCTGGTCCCGATGGGTCCTGGTCCCGGTGGTTCCTGGTCCTCTGCATCCACGCCGTGGGGGGGGGGGGAGCAGCCGCAAATTCTCCTAGTCTCCTAGTCAAGGTTCCAGTTAGCGGGTGCCAACTGGGACCTTGGTCTGGGGTACCTGGTTCTGCGGTTGCGAGGCCTCTCGTCCGGATCGTAGTCCATGAGGAATCGTAGCTGCTCGTTCGGGTGGTCCTGAGCTTTCTCGAAGGTCTTCTCCGCCTTTTTCCTCATGTACTCGTGGATGGTATCCCAATGCAGGTCTCTACGCAAGGTTGAGTGCCTTACGTAGGAAGGTGCATTGGTGGCGATCCGGAGTAGCTTCATCTCTAGAGCAGCAAGTCGCTTGCGGTAGCTGGGGGCAGCGTACCCCCAGACCGCGGAGGCGTAAGCGAGCTGAGGTCTGGCGATGGCCTTGATCAGCCGTAGCTTGGTCGCTAGCGGCATCTGGCTGTGTCTACCCAGTAATGGATAGAGTTGAGCCATGGCTGCTCTGGTTTTTGCGATGACAGCTTCTATGTGCGCTTTCCAGGTGAGGGACTTGTCAAAAACGATCCCCAGATATTTGACATTGTCGCTCCACTGGATATCTTCATCGAAGATGGATGCTTCGAGAGGTCTTGCAATCCTTCTTCGTTGAATGAAGATTGCCTGCGTCTTCTGGACGTTGATGCGGATTTTCCATTTCACGCACCAGTCCTGAATTTGGTCCAGTTCACCCTGTAGTCTCCTACGGATGATCTCGGGTCGTCTATGCTTGGCGGCTATAGCAGTGTCGTCTGCATATAGGGCCAGCATTGTGTCAGCTGTCTTCGGCACATCGTAAGTATAGATGTTGTAGAGCAGGGGGGCTAAGGCTGACCCCTGGGGCACGCCTGCTTCCAGCTGACGTCTTGTTGAATGGCATGTACCAATCTTCACCGTGAACCATCTTTGTGTTAGATAGCTCTGGATTAGTTGGCACATGTTCGCATCGATTCCGGCGGCTTCCATTTTGGCGATGAGTCCATCGTGCCAAACTCGGTCGAAGGCTCGTTCCACGTCCAGCAGGACGAGACCGGTTGCCTCCTGGAGATTGAAGCCGCTGGTGATGTTTTCTGTCAGTCGTAGCGCTTGGAGTTCCGTGTTGTGCGAGGATCTGAAGCCGAATTGCTCTGGGGGGAGAAGTTGCAGTTCTTCTGCCTGCTTCTCTAGTCGAACGGCGATAGCCTTTTCGACTACTTTGCCCATCGAGGAAACCAGGCTGATGGGCCGGTAGTTCTGGGGCAACTTCCGGTCCTTGCCTGGCTTGGTGAGCATTATAACCTGGGCTTCCCGCCACCGCCGCGGGAAGTGGTTAAGTCTCAGGGTGGCATTGGCGATGTTGGTGAGCGCAGCAATGCCTTTGGTGGGAAGGTTCTTCAGCATCCTGTTGTTGATGCCGTCCCTTCCCGGCGCCTTTCTGACCTTCAACCTGCGGATGATCAGACGGATTTCCTCTGGACTGGAGGGGTGATCCGTCTCCTGGCCAGGTGGTCGACTCCTCATGTTTTCAGCTGCGACTTCCACGGCCTCCTCGTGGTTGTCGTCCTCGTCTTCATGGTAGTTGAGTCTGCATTCGGATTCTAGCGAATCGGCGAATGCTTCGGCTTTTTCTTCACTGGAGTAGGCCAAGCCGCGTTGGCCGTGAAGAGTGGGGATCGTGGTGCGCTGACGACGAAATTTTCGCTGCATAGACCAGGCCGTACCATCCTGGGTCTCTAGTTCTGCACAGGCTGCATTCCATCTGTTGTTTTGGAGTTCCGCGAGTGCGTTCTTCAGAGCTAACGATGCTCTGTTTCGCGCAACTCTCGACTCCTCTGTCAACAGCTGGAGATGTTCTCGCTTGAGTCTTCTGTTCTCCCTGATCAGGTGCCTAATATGGTGCGGTGCTGGACCATTTAGGTGTCTAGGAACTGCCGTAGTCTCGGAGCGGGTGCTGTCCTCGTGCGCTCGCAGGACAGCATTCTCCAGCTCCTCTACTGCGTTGTCCAGTTCCTCCGCTGATCGGATGGCTGGAATTTGAGTGATGTTCCTTTGGACGTTGGATTTGTACAGGTTCCAGTTCGTCCGTTTGGTGCTCAAGCTATCTCGAGTTCTAGACCCTGTGCCAAGTGTTAGTAGAATCGGATTGTGGTCCGACGATCCTTCCACCAGGGTCTCTATCTCGAACTCCTCTCTGATGTTGCGGAGGATGGCTATGTCCAGTACCGCAGGTCGCCCAAGGCCGAATGGAATGTAGGTTGGTTGCTCCGGACCGACAATGACCCCCGCCAGGGCATCGACGTGTTCCTGGAGCTGCCTTGCATTCCTGTCTTCGACGTTGTTGTTCC